TTCACTGTTCTATAATATAAGAAAGCACTCATTAAAGTGGTTAGTTTGAAAGAGTTTCTATAAATTCATCATTGCCTAAGGAAATCAGACCATGTCTATTACCTCTGCTTAATTAGAAGGTATATGTGAAACACTACCAATATGAATGGGTTAGAAAATATTTATTCTATTAAAGAATTCAAACTCAAATCAGCAATATACCATGTAACCTACCAATTCACAATGCTTCACTATCAAATTACTATCAAAATGAATTCTATATATGAATAACTTACTACATGCAGCAAAAAACACATCATAACCAAACTAATTAAGATGCTTTTCTGGCTTATCTTATTCTAGATACCCTTTGAAAAATTTTTTCTTGCAGTTCTTCCAAACATATTACATCATAACCACACCATTCAAATTACACAAGCCAACCAAATTTGTGGAAAAATCATAATATTACAATAAATTATGCAATCAGATTTTCAAATTTTATGATGGAAGCAATCACCGAACACTACACGCCACCAAACCCACCCACACAAACAATAAAATTAAGGAATGAAACTCACCTCAAACTGAACCACCAAAAATAGTTTCGCCTGGAAACCATTTTGGAGTGCAAAGTATTAAGGCAACAAAAATAGCCCAATCTTGGAAGTCAAGAAAAAAAATCCAAAGAATGTGAAGGAGAAGGCATTTGAACAATGATAACCGATGTTGAGGTATTAATTCATTAACATACCCGCGTTTTCTTTAGTTTAATTGAGATGCAAATGGCAAAGACAATTGAATATGTTTCAGGCAATTGAATATCCTTAAGCAGGACTCGCAAAAAAAGATTTTCTCTCTTGGAATTAGTACTCTGTCTGCTAAGCTTTTAGGGTTTGTGCATGGCGGCTTGGGCCGCCTCTGCCGTGGGGGAGGGGATTCCTCCTGCTGCAGGAACAACGACCTCCCGGTCCTTTGCAGAGGTCATCGGCGAGAAGTCGGTCGCACCGTTGGCGGCTGCTACAGATGGAGGTGCACGCGTGCAAACTGTAACCGCAACACATAGGGGAGAGCCGGCTGTGCGATTTGCAATTGATGATATTGAACGCGTGGCTATTCCGTTTTGTTTTGCGTTAGTAGGAAAATTTTCAAGGGGCCGACCGATAATGGAGGAGATTCAGAAGTTCTTTCGGGCTTTAGATTTAAAGGAAGAGGTTTCTCTTGGCCTGCTGGATCGTCGACATATACTGATCCGCTTGACAAATGATGCGGATTACTATCGGATTTGGTCTCGTAGTGTATGGTGTGTTCTTGATGCACCAATGAGGGTGTTTAAATGGTCTGTTGATTTTCATGTGGATAGGGAGTCGTCGGTTGTGCTAGTCTGGTTCGTTTTACCTAAGCTGCCAATCCATCTTTTTCACAAAGATTGCTTGTTTCCAATTGTGGCTTGTCTTGGTCGGCCACTGCGAGTGGATGCGGCAACTGCTGCGGGTTCGCGGCCAAGCGTAGCCCGCTATGCATTGAGGTCGATTTGCAGAAGACACTGCCTAGTCGGGTATGGATTGAGGTCGGAGATAAGATGGGTTTCTGGTAGTACTTGGTGCCAGAAAATCTCCCTAAATATTGTGGGTTTTGTATGCACCAGGGGCACAGTGAGGATGAATGTCGTGTTAAAAATCCAGCTTTGAATTCAGACTTGGTGGGACAACCGCAGGTGGAGAGGAAAAAACCCGTGCGTAATTTGTGGCAGCAAACAAATACCAAACCTGGGCTTGGGGACGGGGTCGGCGAGGCAATGGCGGAGACTGACAAAGGAAAGGAGGATGCGTCTGGAACACACTGCGCTGAAGGTCAGGTCTGCAATTCTGGGCAACAACATCCAGAGGCTTCTGATGGACGGTTGGAGGTGCAGATGTCTTTGGTATCGGCCACGGGCCTTGGATCAGATTGCGAGGGGCAATTGGAGGTTGCTGCTACGGGAGGGATCAGTAAAGAGGACCATTCCCCAGTGCGGGAAGCTGGACACGTACCGGACATTCAGAGGGTGAGAGATAAGGGGGAGACGTCGGCAGGAGTGACGACGGTGTGCGCTGGTGCAACTGCTGGCGTTGACCAAGAGGCGAGCCTGGTTGTGGACCTCCAGGTAGAGGAAGATGTTTGGCATCAGCATGCTTTAGCGCTGGTCGCTGATCATCCCGATGGAGGGCTAAGAGGCATGAGCGCTGGTTTGGAGTCCATGGAAGACAGCGAAAGCAGTGATAAAGAGAGGGCAATTGACCTACCGCGGGTGGCAGGCAGCTTATCTCCGAGATCAGTGGTCATGCATACAGAGCCATGGACTGATACAATGGCAGCATTAAACGTTGATTCCCTGGCAGAGAACGTTCACAGCATTAAGAAGGCTAAAGGGAAGGGGTTGCGAGTGCGGTTTCAATCAGACAGGCGCCTTCGATCCTCATCTTCCACCTCTAACTCAACTCAGGTACCTTGTGATGATTAATACGTTGTTATGGAATATAAGAGGGGTGTCTAGAGCAGCCAATTTACGTCATTTGAAACATATCATACGAATGCATGGCATCCAATTTGTAGCTATTTCTGAACCAAAATTAGACGTCTAGAGTGTTGAGCATATTCGTTTGGGGCTAGCTTTTGACTTCGTCATTGTTAATGAGTCGGAGAATCTGTGGATTTTTTATAATTGCCCGTTTACCTGTTCGGTGATTAACTCATCCGAACAACATATTTCTTTATCTATTCTTCATCTGTGGCTTCCTGGGCCGATGATCTTCTCTTTTGTGCATGCCCTCTATACAGTAGAGGGTCGTCGGGACTTATGGGCTAAGCTTTTGGCTGATAAGCCCCATTCACTGTCTTCGTGTGTTGGGGGAGATTTTAACGTCATTGTGAATGGCCATGAAAAACGAGGGGGGCGGCCATTTACGGTGTCAGAAGGGAGTGAATTGCTGGCTTTTATGGAGGAGGCTGAGATCTTCGATGCTGGATTTTCGGGGTCGAGCTATACATGGTGCAATAATAGGCGGGGTAGAGCTAGAATTTGGAAGAGGTTGGATAGATTGCTCATTAATGGGGAGTATTCAGATTTGGCTTCGGCAATTTCAGTTGTGCATCTGGCACGACATCCGTCAGACCATGCCCCACTAAAAATTTTATTTGCCTCGAGAATGGACAATGGGTCGCGGCCGTTTAGATTCTTAAATGTTTGGGCGTCCAAACCGGAGTTGATGGGGGTCATTAGGGATGCATGGTACACGGAGGTGCAAGGGTCGCCACTTCGAGCCCTATGCTCAAAGTTATTAACTGTTAGCCGGCGATTCATTTGTGGAATAAACAACACTTCGGTGATATTGAAACAGCTGTTAGGGAAGCAAAGGTGGGCCTTTCTAGGGCCGAGGAGGAATTAACACAGGACGGATCCGACAGGGATCTCGAGAATGTTCACAGGGCGCAGGCAGAGCTTAATCGGGCTTTGGCGATTGAGGAACAGTTTTGGAGGCAAAAGGCTCGGGTCAAATGCTTAGAGGAGGTGATCGGAATACGAGGTATTTTCATGCAGTGGTCAAACAGCGGAGAATGCAAGGGGCGATACACAGGGTGAAAAATTCAAAGGGCGCGTGGGTGGACAAGGAAGACGACATAGGAAAGGCAGCGATTGAGTACTTCACTGACCTGTTCTCGGGTTCTATGGAACCCAAGTAGGGGGAGTTGATGCAGTTGATCCCGGAAATAATCACGGTCGAGGAAAATGCAATGTTGGCCAAGGTCCCTAGCATGGAGGAAGTTCGCCACTGGGTGTTTGCCATGGACGAGGAAAGTGCAGTTGGGCCAGATGGGTTTACGGGCAGGTTCTTTACATTTGCATGGGACGTAATAGCTCCAGACGTGCACCGCGCAGTGGTGAGTTTCTTTTGTGGCAGTGAGTTGCCTCGGTTCATTACCTCCACCTCAATCGCCTTGTTGCCAAAAGTTGTGAATCCTCAAGATTTCTCAAAGTTTAGACCGATCAGTCTCTGCAATTTTTTCAACAAACTGTTGTCCAAAATTCTGGTGGGTCGACTAGCTTCGGTAGTGCCAAAAATTATATTCCCTCAGCAGTCAGGGTTTGTCAAAGGCCGTACTTTAACGGATAACTATTTGTTGGCTCAGGAGCTTGTGTTGGGCATCGGCAAGAAGACGAGAGGAGGAAATGTAGCATTGAAACTTGATATGACCAAGGCCTATGATCGGATGTCGTGGTGGCACATTATTTCCATGCTGCGCGCTTTTGGCTTTGGAGAGAGTTTGATTGATATGGTCTGGAGACTTATTTCGAACGTCTGGTTCTCTATAATTATCAATGGTAAATCTCATGGGTATTTCAAATCTAGTAGGGGTTTACGTCAAGGGGATCCCTTATCTCTAGTGCTGTTCATCATAGGTTCGGAGATGCTCTCGAGAGGCCTCAATGCTCTAGCTTTGCAGTAGGGTTTCGTAGGGTTCAGAGTCCCGCCAGGCTGTCCTGTCGTCACACACTTGGCCTTTGCTGATGACGTGCTCATTTTTACGAATGGTTCCACGGCTGCTTTGAAGCGTGTTATACAGGTCCTAGAGGCTTATCAGTTATCCTCGGGGCAATTGGTAAATGCTCATAAGAGTGGCTATTTGGTCCATGAGACGCTTCCTCCGGCTAGGAGGAGGGTGATCGAGCGGGTTACGCAATTTTCTAGACAACGGTTTCCAATCCGTTATTTAGGCTTTCCGTTGTACACGGGGAGAAGCAAAGCAGTATTTTTTGGGGAGGTGTGTCAGGCAATCTTGGCTCGAGTTATGTCTTGGAAAGCAAGGTTGATATCCCATGGTGGGAGAATAATCCTGATAAAGCATGTTTTGTCGTCCATTCCTGTCCACTTACTCTCTGCTACGGTATGCCCTGTCTCGATTTTCACGAGAATTGAGCAGGCGTGCGCAAATTTCTTATGGAGGTCAGATAAAAATGAGGCAAAATTCCAATGGATCATATGGGCTCAGTTATGTCTCCTGGTCGCGGAGGGGGCGTAGGTTTCAGAAGGCTCCGAGAGGTATATTCAGCTTTCTCTTGCAAATTATGGTGGAGTTTTCGAGCTGGCTCCTCACTATGGGCAGAATTTATGCGGGCAAAGTACTGCAAAGGTCTCCATCCGGGCCAGGTGGAGATGAGGCCGCACGACTCGCCAGCATGGAGAAGAATGTTAAATATAAGTCGGCAGGTGGAACTATCCATGGTATGGTTGGTGAATGGGGGAACGTGCAATTTTTGGTTTGACAATTGGATGGGGAGTGGAGCTCTATGTCTGAAAACTACGGCAACTCCAGGGCTCAACTTCAAGGATTTTATTGCAAATGGCGTTTGGGACGTGAATAGGTTGGGCCAGCATGTGACACAAGAGCAGCTTCATCAGATCTTACGGTACCCGGTCCCATCAAGTGAAAGTAACGATGAAGTCATTTGGCGACTGACGGCGTCGGGGAAATTCACGCTAGCTTCCACTTTTCATGATATCCGGCAAGCTGGAAACACCTCGGTACTCCATTCACAGGTTTGGCATCCTCAGATTCCTTTGAAAATTTCCTTTTTCATGCTTCGCTTACTAGGGGATAGGTTGCCCTTAACTGCGGTGTTGTGGAGGGTGGGGGTCCAGTTGGCTTCTAAATGCCTATGTTGCCCAGAGGGGGCGGCTGAGCAAGTTGAGCATGTTTTCTCGGAGGGGCAAGTTGCGCAGGAAGTATGGGACTATTTCGGTCGGCTTTGTGGGGTTGTGCGGAGAGGCTCAACTCTACGGGCTTGGCTAATGGCTTGGTGGATGGCGGCACCTAGGTCAGACAAATGTTAGCTTCTGTTTTCAGTCCTTCCATGCTTTATTTGCTGGCACATTTGGAAGGCTCGGAATAAAGCATTCTTTGAAGGAACCCAAATGAGGGTGGTGAAGATTTGTCAGGACGTCATGCTAGAGGTCAAGGGGGTGTTGGAAGGTAAGTTCAAGTAGAGAATTGGAGTGCACACGTTTTCTCAGCTATACGAATGGACTAATCAGTCACCCCGCTATAGTTATACCTGGTGCGGTGGAGGGCAATGGGGGATGGCATGTTAACGTTAAACACGGACGGATACTCCAAGGGAAACCCGGGGGAAAGCGGAGGTGGGGGAATACTTCACGATGCGTCAGGCTTGCCAATTTTTGCTTTCTCGGCTTCGTTCGGGGTGGCTTTGAGTATGCGCGCAAAAGTATTGGCATTGGGTACGGGTCTCAGGCTATGCCAACAATTGGGGTATGCCAATGTCAATATTCAGGTCGATTCAAAGGTATTGGTTGGGATTCTTCATCGGGAACTAGACTGCCCGTGGATGGTTCAAAGGGAGGTTAACCAAATTTGGGGTATGGGTGTTGATTCGGAGCAGGTTACTCATTGTTACAAAGAGGCAAATAGAGTGGCGGACTGTTTGGCCAATATGGGGGTTGCAACTGGGGGACTGGGGGTTACTGTCTACGATCAGTTCAGTGCAATGCCACGGTTAGTACGGGGGGAAATTCGCCTTGATAGGGCAGGCATCCCCTCGATCAGAAGGAGGAGAGTAGGATAGCTTAGGATTTTTTATTCGGGTGTTCCAACCTTATCTGTATCTTCTTCAGTTCGATTTGAATAAATAAAGGAGTTACAAAAAAAAAAGAATATTCTCAAGCAGTAAGATTATAATAATATGCCGTCATTTCAATTGCACAATAAATACCACATTTCAAGTAAATGTGTTTGCAATACCATTTAAGTAATTACACTAATATATAAGCTTGTATGACTTGTACTCGATGCAAAAACGATTATAAAATAATTCCATATTTCAAAAATACCCAAATGTCTCCATAAATATGTGCTTTAAATGTACAAATATGAGGAGATTTCTGTAAACTATCAAAACAGATACTACCATCACTTGTATCCAAAGTTAAAAATAAACTCCACATCATTTCATATTTCAAAAATGACCCTATCTATGCAGTTGAAATTCAAACCGCTCTTTGACCACAACTCGTTCTTATATAACATAAGGATAAGGAATCACTATGGTAGAAATCAAAGAATTAAAGGAAAAACTGTGAAATAGCTATTATTCAGAATTCGATTGTTATCAAATCTTTTGTACTTTAGTTATTTCCTCTAAACTTTTTTGTGATATGACCAAGAATAAGAGAAAATGATAGAGCAATTATTGGGCACCTTTCGCATTGTTATATGGTCATAATTTTGGCTACTTACTGTGCTAAGTATTGAGATTTTGCTCATATTTGATATTTGTGTAAATTGCAGACGATTGGTGTTAAAAGTGGTATCTTAGAGAAAATTTCCAGAAGACTTTCCATCCTAGGACGTGCTCACGCCAGAAACTGTAGAAAGATACCCAAAATACGGACCCCGCTGGATTGGTAGTAAAAGTGGGCAATTAGGGAATCAAAAGGCTCGTGGGGCGCGGAGGTGCAGGGGATAAAAACTCTATTCCTCGAGGAAGTAGAGTCTCTGACGCTTTCTTTTTATTTGGTGGCTACCTTGGGGGAATTGGCAAAAGCCAGATTCACGTGGGATAAGGAGATTGGCTGGGAGCTTTCTTACGTTTTCGTTGGGATAGTAATCTGCGGCGAATAAAATGAAAGCAGATTCACGTGGGATTAATAATTAGCTTTTAGTTTTTCCTTGTCAGACGATTTACTCTATGCTTTAGGCTTTATACGACTCTTTCTTTAGACTTTTCTTTTACTTTCCGCTCGAGTACGAACACGAAACCCAAAAAAAGGTAAGCAAGACCTTTCGTCCGTTCCTTCGTTAATTCATCTTTCCCAATTCTTTGGCAATTGTGTGGATGGAATTAATCAAACCACGCGAGATTGATATGATGAGAAGCGGCTAGATTTCTCCTCCACCCAAAGGTCGACGCGAAGGCGTGGTTCATAACATCTGTGAGATCTAATCGAACTTTCACTATTTCTTCCAATTTGTTACTATTTGTGCATTTTCCGGATTAATTGTTTATGGTTATTTTATTAATTGAGTATCAACGGCCGGATATTTAATTTAATCTAATAGCCTACTGTCACGTTAACTAAATTGAATCCGTAATTGTTCGTTTAGTTGATAACTAGTGACAACCATCATAATTGGCTTTGTGTTGGGGAAGCGTAAGATCTAATTTAAATAAATTCTCTTAGCGTGTTTATTGGTTAGGGTTGGATTTTTCTAGATTTAATGCAACTGGATAATTAAATTCTTACGGTCGTACCTAGGGTGTTTTTTGGTTAGAGAAACAGTCAACGGTCGTACTTTGGCTGTCGAAAAAGTAAGAAAAAATTGGTTGTCAAAGCGTGTTGATAGCTATAACCAACTTAGTAATGAGTAATTGAATTATCTTTGCATCGATGATCAGTTGAATGGATCGTGTCTGAAAAGTTGCATCTTTGGCTAATGTCGTATTGGCTATTGATTAGTTCTTGTTTAATTCTATTAGTAGTTTCATTAGTTAGTTAATTAATTATTTTATATTCTTCAAAAATTCCCCATACTTCGGACTTTGGAAGAAACAAATTATCCCCAATCCCTGTGGATTCGACCCTACTCACCACTATATACAAAATTTGTAATTTTCTTGAGTAGGTAATTATTATTGCACAGGTTCGACACCTATCAATTTTTTGTGCCATTGCTGGGGACTGGTGCCTGATTAATTTGTTTCTTTTTGAGTTTATCTTGCTTTCTTTTTTTTTTATTTTTCCCTTATTTTTTTATATATAGTTTATGGCTGCTAACAATCCGTATTTTGGTGATAGATTGGATTTTATTTCTAGAAGGGGTTATGAAACTCATGCTTTTTCTAATGATCAGTGGGTTGTTGCAAATTGTGAAACTTATTTTGTCTCAAATCATTCAACTGACATATGCCTTACATTTCAAGATAGCTTAAGTGCTCCAATCGATACTTTTGAAATTTTTGCACATTAATATCAAACGTGGTATGACCATTATTCAAACGGGTATGATCAAGAATGGTGGAATGATTCCAATTTTAATTATAAACAAAGGCCAATAGATTTTCAACAACTGGAGTCTCAAGAACCGTCATCCATGTCAGATATGTCTCTTAAAAAAATAGTGAAATTAGTAGCCGCTAACACAGATCAATTTCAACAGGAGACACAAAGGATGAAGATGAGATTGGCATCTACAATGAGCAAATTGATTCCTCCAGTTTATGAAGAATTGCCCTCACAGACTATTATCGATCATAATGAAGATGAGAGTGCAATTATCCTGACAAATGACATGGAACTGCAAAAGTTTCAAGAAAAAAGATCTAAAGATGTAGTTGAAAAGGAAGTTGAAATGCAAGAAATGAGACCCCGATATCAAATTGCTCAAGTGAACAATCTCTGAATGCGGTGACATCTTCTTCATTCCTTAATCAATATTCTCCTGACTCTTATTCTTTAATTCCTATTATTGAGATTGATTTTATTATACCAGACGATTTTGAGTTTCATTGCATGAATAAGTTAAGAGTTGCGATGATAAAATATCTTGAACCAGTAAGTGTTCGTGATGGAGGAGTGAGTGAAGAATTAAGAATCTTGTTGACTTGTTTGGCGCCATCTATTAATCCATGGAAGACCATATCTCGTGTGCTCAAGAATTACTTTATTTACGAGGGTTATCAGGGATACATAAAAGATGAAGCACTAAAACGAGATACATGATTTTATCTTCCATGAATAAACATGGCGATGTATAGCCAAACACGTTAAAGAAAAGCGCTACTTGGAAGGCAATCCAAGAATTTTAATTGTGTTTTCTTTCATATTCGTGTGTTCAAAATTAGTGAGTTTAAGTTCCTATTGACAAACAACCTGTATTGTAGGTCATGAGTATTTCTGGGCAGTTTTATTCTAGGTTAGGAGCAAAAAAAACGTGAGCAGAAAACATCATGTTACAAGGCGTGCCCGCATCTTGTATTCATCGCACATGGACATTTGTAAAATTCAGTGGACAGAGAACTTCCACCTCCAAAGTGTGCCCACGCCACACAGCAAATTATGTCGGGCATATTATAAGCAGATGACCTTACCTTCCAAGGCGTGCCCACGCCTTCCAACCTTTGTGACAACCTTACTTTCCAAGGCGTGCCCACGCCTTCCAACCTTTGTGACAATGAAAATCGAATGAAACCAGGACCATCTCTAACCCTACTTTTCGATTTTCTTGTTTTCTTGTTTTGTCTTGTCTTTTCAATTTTCTTTGTTTTAGTTTCTACTTTTCACTTTCCGTTGTTTTGTCTTAGTTTTAATTTCTACTTTTTCCCTTTTCTTGTTCGTTCGCTGCTGTTGCTGCTGATCTGCACGTCGTCGCCGTCGCTAATTCGTGGCCTTTGCAATCCCCCCATCCCCATAGCTATTGTTGTTTGCTGTCGCCAAAGTTGCCCTCCAGCCATCTGCTGCCCGGAGTCGCAATTTCACTTCGTATCCACTGTCGTCTTGCAGCGCTGCAAGTTTTCGCCCGTATTCAGACAGAGAATCAAGCAGTTTTCTTTGCTCATATTGGATTTCAGCCGCCTTATCCTCCTCCCCTTTAGTGTCTCGCTACACCCTCTCTGTAGTCAGGGAAGTTTCGCCCCCTTTCTTCTTACAATCTATTTCTTTTTGCTACATTGAGAACAATGTAGGTTTTAGGTGTGGAGGGGATGGTTTCTATTATTTCCTTTTGTGCAAAAAAAAAGAGAAAAAAATGAAACAAACAGAGAAAAAAAAATAGTGTAGTTAGTTGACTTCTTTAGTTCTACATTTGTTAGCTGATAGAG